ATAATAATTATAAATAATATAATATAATTATATATAATATATTATAATAATTATAACAATCACAAATACATTTTTGACCATTTGTATTTAGTAAATATATATCTGTATAGAAAGGTTAACGGCGAAATAAAAAAAAACAATTTTTAGGACACTTGACGGATTTAATTTTCTGTACTATTCCATTAAATATTTCCACCAAGCACCACTTTTTACAGCATAGTAACTATAGACAATGATTTAGAAAAGACTAATACCTCAGCCGATAAGAGCAGTCCCATCCATAAAAGTGCAACTTTTTGGCTTAGCAACATAAGTAACTATTAAAATTTTTCAGGAAGTAAGTCAATGTTCTGGAGAGATTTTTTCTTGTCATATGTAGCATTTTGTATCTCAAAACGTAAACTTGTTTTGCACGATTTTACTCATTTTGTTTTTGCAGTCGCCTAAAATTACTTCCTTATATTTTTGTATTGTTGCACCCATTTTACCGAAAAAAATAAATTTTACAAAGACAATCATTTTTTTTCTTTTTTTGCGTTTGAGAAAAACAATGTAAATTTACAAATTATATAAATTACTTAAACTAAACTAAATTAGTTAAAAAATATGAAGGTACCTACACGCAATTTTTTCCTTAAGAAAAATAAGTAATATTTACTTTGTACAATGTCTTAACATTGTACCTAATAGTGATTAATTGGATCAAATATATTTTTTATCTTATTATAATTATTACAAACTCACAGTTGAAAATTAATTATATGCACATATAACATTAATGACTACACAAAAAATTAAAGACAAAAGTTTTCTAGATTTCTAAGAAACAGCATTTATTGATATTCCTATTTTTATCGAAAGCTAAATCACAAAATGAATTGTCGTTTTTGTAGGAAACACATTAGATATAATGAATTGGCAACTTTATTATCGGAAAAATACGTGCTTAAAGAACATATTATTTATTACACATCGAAGATGGTTACTTTACACTGTCTATTTGTAAACACGAGTAGCATCTGTTCATATTTTTAATAATATTAATGATATGAATGTTAGTGCTAAGGTATTAATAGCGTAGGTACACGTAGTTTATTATAAGCCCAGGGATATAAACTTTTTCTTAATAATTTTGCAAAATGATGGTATAGAGAAATACACATTCCGGTGCTTCTCTTATAATGAATAAAGTGGATATTAATATTGATAGGCTAATGAAGAACAAAAACGAATGATAATGCAGGGTTAAACATAAAAGCAGCATCGCATCTTAACAGGTTCTTAAACAGCAGTAGCATAGAGAAAACAGAGCTTTACTTTTAAAAATCATTTGTTATACATAAATTTAACTAGTAGGTACAGCAACTGTTATAGCTTATTTTTTTACAAAAACAAAACAAAAAATTATAATTAATAAAAATTTTATTTTGCATTGTTCTGGATCAAATGAGTTATTGGTTGAATATTTAAATTCCAGCATAAAAGACCAATGCATGAATACATGCACTTATGTCAACGCACGTTCGTTCTGATTAAATTTTCTTTCGTTAAACACGCAAAATTGTAATGGTGAAACCATGTTAATACAAATAAATCACTTAATAATATTTTAGTCCCTACTACAGATAATAAAATCATAAAATATATGCATTACAAATAGTGAATTATAAAAAGGCCCTGTCACGATTTCTTTTGGAATAAATATTTAATTGTTTGTTTATTTAAATTGCAGAGCTAACTTTATTGAGTAGAGTTTAACAATCATTTAATTAAATCAATTTCAGTTAATGAATTATAGTCCATTGAAAAGTTACATTTGGGGTTGCAAAAGTCAGAGTACGCAATTTTATTTTTTGGAAGTCAAGAAGGGGTTAGTGTAAAGTTAAATCCATGTTTGTGGGGTCGCAACCCTTGTGCATCGGCCGCCATCTTGTAAAAAGGGCTGCAAATGGTTTTTATACTACATACTACTTACTATATCGGGTAAACTATTCGTCGCACAGAAAATTTGTAAATACATTTTTTGTTGCAAATTAAATTCTCTACAAATAACTTTTAGTCGTAAAACTAAAAGTAACAAAGTTATTAACGAAAATAGATAAAAATTTGTGAACGAATTTTCTTTTGGTCGTTATAACTTTTTTCTGGTCATTTTACAAAAAAATTACATGAGAGTATTTTGATGGAGGGGTTTTCAAGGAATAATTTCCATTACAAACTTTTTTCAAATTTTATTTATTTAGTAGGGTTTTACAGCGATGCGAAACTTACACTATTCTCCAGTACTAGTAAGTATACATTAATATGAAATGAATAGGCATAGGAGGTGTCCTTCAAAGTTTTCTTCCAGTTGTGCTACCAAGTGCGTGCGTGACGTATTTAATTGTGAAAAGTATTTTGAGTTTTGTGGACCCTATTTTGAATTTTGTGGACAAGAGATGGGTTTCAGTGTCGACCAAGCAGAATCAGATGAAGATACCCTCATCGTTCGCTTCACTCTTACTGCATCCCAATCGTTCGAGTCAGTCACTATTGTCGCCGAAGATATCAACATTCTTGTCTTGCACACGGCATTTGGAAGAACACATTCAAATGTATTTTTTTTTAAACCATCAAAAGGACGTACAGCCGAACAATTATATTGTCCGTCAAGTTTTATGTACGGAGACGTCATTGTGGATAATCTGTTGTTTCTCCATGCCTTCTCAGGATGTGACACGACTTCAGCAGCTTACAACATCGGTAAAATGAAATTTCTCACAACCCTGGAGACACGTTCTGAGTTAGCTAGTGGAACAGCGTTATTCCACAAA